GGCAAACAGTGCTTGCTCTTTTAACAAACAGTCTCTCCTTCCCCGGGCACATGGGCGCTGCTGTGCGGATCAATGGTGGGGATGGTGGCAGTGAGGAGAAGAGAAGATCTCGTAGGCTGAAATTATCTCTCACTCCCACTCAGCAAAGTGGAACTGTCAAGAGAGTTCTTGCATCTATGAGTGTGCTTTTCTGTGATAATGCCACGATTGTCATTCTCAGTCTTTTGTCTTGAAGGCTGCTTCAGGCACAGGAGGTCAATCTTGCTGAAGTCTCTTTCTTCATCCTTTTAGGGCCCCCTGTTAGGACACCTCTAAGCAGAGCTGTGTTTGAAGAAGGAGGGCTGCCAACTACCCCCTCACCCCCCAAATATGGTCTCATACCCAGGGGCAGAGGAAGGGGAGTGTGGTGGGGGTGGGTAGCCCCGGGTGTCATCACTGAGGGGGGTGACAAAATGCCGGGCAGCACTCCTGGGAGTGACGCAGTGGCTTGGGCACATGCAGGCTCTGCGCTGCCCAAACGGTCTGTCTGCTGCCTCCCCCCCAGCTGTAGGAGCATCCTGCCCCGGCTGGCCCTGCCCTGTGGCAGCTGGCCCCACCCCCACGGGTGGCTGGCACCTCCCCTGGCGCAGGGCACGTGTGCTGCCCCAGGCACCCAATCGGCTTGCTCCGCTGCTGCTTATACCCTCCAACATTACTCCGATGAAAATAGGGACGTCCTATCCCATAAGAACAACAACAATTTTTTTTTTACTCTTCATGCCCACTCAGATGACTGCATCTCAGATGACTGCATTGCCCCAGCCATTCTTGGCAGCTTCCAACATATATAAAAACATAAAACATTTTATTTAAAAGACCCTTCCCTTTACAGGGCTGCCTTAGATGGCTTTGGGATTGCATAACTGCATACCTACCAACATTTCTCCAATGAAAATAGAGACGTCTCAAGGAAAAGCAGGACATTCTGGGATCAAATCAGAAACTGGGACAGCTTCTGTAAATCCGGGACTGGCCCTGGAAAATAGAATAGTCTGTGGTCACCTGCTCTAAGCAATAGCTCAATCTTCATAAAGCAGGAAATGCACCTCTTCATGGTGGTAACCTTCATCACCTGCAAAAATTGGACAGGACAGGCCACTAAAACACCTGGGTACCTTCATAAGAACATAAGAATTTGCTCTGGTGGATTAGGCCAAGGGTGACCTGTCTGATATAGTCCAGTGTCCTGTTCTCACAGTAGCCCACCTGATGCACCAAAGGGAAGCCTGCCAGCAGGACTGGGCACAAGGGCACTCTGCCCGCCAGCAGTCCCCAGCAACTGGTATGTGGAGACATGATGGCTTGGCAGCAGAGGTGGAGTCAACGAGAGCCTTCTCCTCCTAGTTGCCATCAATGGCCTTCTTCTCCATCCTCTTGTAAAACAGATGGCCGCTTTTCAATAAGCATATTGCGATCCAAATTTTGTTTTGTCGCTTGTCACACGGAGGTCATGGGCTTCTTGCAGAACCAGGGGTGGACACGCCCATGCACACTCCCTGCACATGCACATCTACCCCACAAGGCTAGATGAAAATGGGACCTGCTTCACACACGCAGATAATCTGAGCACTTAGTTTGCTCCTGATAACATCAGTCGTCCAGTGAAGCTGAATGTAGGAAGTTTCAGGGCAGACCAAAGACAGTCCCTTTTCATGCAGTGCCTAGAAGAAGAAGAAGAGTTTGGATTTGATATCCCGCCTTTCACTCCCTTTTAAGGAGTCTCAAAGCGGCTAACATTCTCCTTTCCCTTCCTCCCCCACAACAAACACTCTGTGAGGTGAGTGGGGCTGAGAGACTTCAAAGAAGTGTGACTGGCCCAAGGTCACCCAGCAGCTGCATGTGGAGAAGCGGAGACGCGAACCCGGTTCCCCAGATAACGAGACTACCGCTCTTAACCACTACACCATACTGGCTCTCTAGTTAAACTATGGAACTCCATAGTGATGGCCACCAGCCTGGATGGCTTTAGAAGAGGATGGGACAAATTCATGCAGGATTAAGCTCTGAATGACTTCTACTTATGCTGGCTATGATTTCCCTCTAGTGTTGGAGGCAGTAATGCTTCTAAATATCAATTGCTGGAAACCACAGGAGGGGAGAGTTGCTCTTGTGCTCAGGTCCTGTTTGTGGGATTCTGGTTGGCCACTGTGAGAATAGGATGCTGGACTAGGTGGGGTCATTGGCCTGGTCCAGCAGGTTAAGTTCTTATGCTGATATTGAGATGTATATGACTTGATGGATTGTTGAGTGAAAGACTTTGTTCCGATATGCGATATTCCGATATAGAAGGAAGAAGCCTCAGCCAAAGAAGATGATAAAGAAGAAGATTGGCAAAATAAAATACTGAATTATGCAGGACAAGTTATTACAAAAAAGGGGCAACTGTTCAATGCATATTTTTAAAGCTTTCTGTATAGATTCTTACATTGGTATAACTTTTGAAAGTCACTTGTAATAAGATGAAGATTTTAAAATTGGATTTGTTAAGTGTATAAGGTTTTGTGGATGTGCATGAACAGATATATTATAATGGAACCAAGAGGGGGAGTGGAGGGAAGTCGACCAGAAATTTATGGTTTAATATGGTTATGATTTTTGTCTGTTTTTATATTTTTTCCCTTTTTCTTCTTTTTTTCATTTTGTTATATTTGGAAAATCAATAAAATGTTACCAAAAAAGAAAAGAAAAGAAAGTTCTTATGCTGATATGAATAGGGAATGAGGGATACAGTGGTACCTCGGGTTACAGACACTTCAGGTTGCAGACGCTTCAGGTTACAGACTCTGCTAAACCAGAAATAGCACCTCGGGTTAAGAACTTTGCTTCAGGATGAGAAATTGTGCTCTGGCGGCACGACAGCAGCAGGAGGCCCCATTAGCTAAAGTGGTGCTTCAGGTTAAGAACAGTTTCAGGTTAAGAACGGACCTCTGGAACGAATTAAGTACTTAACCTGAGGTACCACTGTAATGCCTTTGAGCCTACCAAACCCTCCAGCATCCAGAGACCAGTGAAAGTTGGATCGCAGGGTTAAGGAAACATACTTTTCTCTTGCAACTAAGAAACAAGACCTGTGGCAAAGTTGTAGCTTTTGCTGCACAGCATTGTAACAGAATCAGATGGAGTTTCTGTTTGGGGGGTTGCCAACCAGGTGTCCCAGACAGCCGGGTAAACAGGTGCAGTGTTCCTGCCCCCTTTAATTGCTTCATGCTGCAGACAACATCACCTGTTGCATAACTGTCTGTCTTGAAGCATTCCAGGGTGCAGTGTGTAGGTTAGCATCCCCAGTGAAAAACAGCCATGCACATCCTGGGCACTGCTGCTGCTCATGCGGTGGGTCTCCTGTGTAGCCTGCAAGGAACAGGAGGTGGGAAGCATCCTGCACCAGTGGCAGAGCAGTGCAATGAGCGATAGCCAGCAAGTGGAATATTAGAAGTGCCTGCTGGATCCGGCCAAAGCGGAAGATGTGGTTCATATGAGACCCAGGACTCATTCACACATGGCAAAGGGGAGGCAGTTGCAACAGTTATATTGGGTTTTTTTTGGGGGGGGTGTAAGCTGCTCTGGGAACTTGTCTGAAGGGTGAACGGTTTTATTTATTATTTGTTTCATAAAATGTTTGTACCATTTGATTGAAACCTCAAAGTGGTTTATGAAAAAGAATGAAAAAGTGAACTTGTCAGTAATTACCGGTAATTAAAATTGTTAATAAGCTAAAGCAATAAAAAATGGTGTCAATAGGCAGGGAGTTCCCAAGTGTGCGTGCTGCTAGTCTGAAAGATTGATTTCTTACCCATTGTAAATCATTCCCTTCCATGGCCAATGTCTGGGGTGTGAATGTTTCGCTGCTTAGGCAGCCAAAACAGCTCTGCCCTCTCACAAGAAGTGGCATGCAGTGGAGAGGGTGAGGCCCAGCTGGCATGAGAGGCTCAGCTTGGTCCTGCCCAGCTCTGGCCGGAGTTGGAGCTGGGTTGTGCAGATCCAGCACCAGCAGACTTAGTTGGGATGTTTAGAGTAGTTTAAAATATATTGAGAAAGAAAACCCAAACTGCAAAGAGGAGGGGAATGGAATGTGGACTGGCTGTTGGGAGAAGAAAAAGGAGAAAAGAAAAACTGTGTGTGATGTGGGAGATGGAATGGAGTATCCTGGAAAGGGCAATGTCTGTGGAACAGTGAACAGCAATAACATCCAGCCTGGCTGCTCGATCAGACCACAGGTCCAGCTAGTAGCCCAGAATTCTGTTCTCAGTGGCCAAGCAGTTGCCCATTATGGGAAGTCCCAAAGTAGTACCTGTGCGCAACAGCAATCTTCCCACTTGTGATTCGCAGCTCCGGCTCTTCAAAGGCACTGAATCATAGAACTGTAGAGTTGGAAGGGACCCCAAGGGTCATCTAGTCCAACCCCCTGCAATGCAGGAACCATGGCACCTCCAAGGTGGGAGGCAGCACATAGCCGCACTGCCACATTTTGTTGCTGTTCCCTCTTGCAAAGAGACACATTCTAAGAAGTTCGGATCCCAGGGCTCAAAACGCAGACACTTTCTCTCTCTCTCTCCTTCCCAAAAGCCCTTGCTGCTGTGAGAGGTGCACTCTGCACGTGCTCAGAGGCACTCGGGGTCTTCCAACGCCCTGCCCCTTCTGGGCATCCTAATATTTTGAGCCTTTGAGAAACAGGCCTTGGAGGAGGAGGAGGAGAAGGAAGATAAAACAAGAAGGGGCCCCCACCGCCGCGCATCCGGAGGACGATCAGCAAAACGTAGCGAGGGGGCGTGGGCGGGGCCGGCACGGCTAGAGCTAGGGTGGGCGTGTCCTTGGGCCCCGCGGGGCGGAGCCTGGCGACGCCAGCCCCACAAAAAGCGAAAAGGGAGCGAGCGAGTGGGCGGGGCCCGGCATGCAGAGGAGGGGGCGGGGCCGGCAGGCGCGATTGGCTCCGGCGCTGGCTCTGCCCAGCTGTGGCCAGAGGTGTCGCGCGCCGCAGCAGCAGCTTCAGCACCAGCAGCAGCAGCAGCGCGGAGAGGAGGCGCCGCGGCATCCTTGCAGCAGCAGCAGCGGCGGCGGCGGTGGCGGAGGCAGCAGGCTGGGCTGCGGGAGGGACCATGGCCGATCCAGCGGCGGCGGCTGCGACGGCGGGGGCGCCGTCCGGGTCCGAGGGTGAAGAGGGCCCGGTGCGCTTCGCCCGCAAAGGCGCGCTCCGCCAGAAGAACGTGCACGAGGTCAAGAACCACAAGTTCACCGCCCGCTTCTTCAAGCAGCCCACCTTCTGCAGCCACTGCACCGACTTCATCTGGTGAGCAGAACCGACCTCCCCCCAGGCCAGGGCGGCAGGAGGGTGGGGAACCCCACTTGCTCGGCATCTCCCCCCTCCCGATCTTGGGCTGCGCCACCCCTCCCTTGCCTTTGCTGAACCGGGGTCCCCTCCCCCTATCGAGGGACGCCCCCTTGGCACCCTGGAGGATATGAAGAAGGGCTTCCTCTTCCTCTCTTCCCCGCGGTCCCAGGGCAAGCGAGCTCCTGTCCCCAGTTAGCCCGGTCTCGGATCCTCCCCCTATCTCCCCTGTCCCCCTTTTCAGGGCTGCAGCCCCCGAGCCGTGTGATGCGCCTCAGACCCCCCACCCAGCGGACCTCGCTTGCAGCTTTTAGTCATCATTTCTCCTTGCCAGCTCCTTTTCCGGGGGAGGGGGAGCTTCCTCCCAACTTGCACCAGTCGTTGTACTCCAGGGCTGGGGGAGTGCCTCCCCCCGTCCCTAAAATCTCCTCCCCAGATATGAGAAGATGAGCACCAAGCTCTGTCTGTCTCTGTTTCACACCCTGTCAAAGGGAGATCGCCTTCCTGTTGCAACCTTTAGCTGGAGTTTTTCTCCCTGGAGGGCCCCCTTTCTGTAGGATTCAGACGAGTCCTTACCTCCCACCCACCTACCTTTGCTGCCTGGGGCTCTTCAGAGAGGTACCACCTCCACCAGCTGCATGAATGCAGCAAGCCACCTCTGAATTGTGTAGTCTCTGTGACTCTGTTCACTGGCAAAGACCCCCTAAGTAGATTCTAAGACCCCCCCTCTTCTTTCTGTTGAGAGACTCCCCCTCCACCATCGTTTTCAAAACACGCATCCCGTCCCAGCGTAAAAGACCTCAGCAGAGAGCTCCTTTCGTCCTCTCTGTCAGATACTACTGAGAACTGAGCAACCCAGGTTTTTTATTTTTATTGCCCCATCCATACCACAAAACGATTGTGAGAAATCTTGACCTTTTCCATAAAGTGCCTTCCTGCCTCATTTGTGCCCCTCTTCCCATTTCGGCATGCAAGGGCATCCCCTCTCTGATGATATTGGACCTGACAGGATATCTGCAAATAGGCCCCCCACCCTTCCATCATTACTGGACGCTCCACCCCATATCCTACTCCACAGTTCCATGCACCCCATGGAGAAACTTCCAGTGGCCAACAAGTAGCTAGCCATGGTGAATCCCATCCACTTTCTACCTCTCTCCATCTGTTGTGGAATTAGCTTAACAAGGTCTCCTCTCAGTCATGAATTCACTAGGTGGCCAGCCATAGGCAGGCCACTCCCTTTAACACACACACACACACACACACACACACACACACACAATATGTGAGTAACGACTCTGACCTACTTTATAGGGTGGTTGTTGGGGACACACCACAATTGTGTGTGTGTGAGAACACTTTGGCTACTCTAAAGCACCATACAATGCAATAATAGAACTGTAGAGTTGGAAGGGACCCAACGGGCCATCTAGTCCTACCTCAGCAAATCACAGTGGCCAACTTGCTTATCTGGGGCCCCATCTCTGGGGGTAGTGAAACTGCCCTCCATCTTTGTAGATTCCAGGTATCCCTGAATTCTGCGGGGTGAAAGTCCCACTTTGGGAGGAAGGCAGGGAAGGGAGAGGGTTTGGGGTCATTGGAGGTAGCGTATGCAGAAATCGGGAGCGGGGTGTTATTGAGCATGTCCAGAGTGCCTTTATCTTTCCACCAAGTAATGGCACCTGACTTCACATGGATCTGGGACTAGGGAGAGAACAGTGGTGGAGCAGGGGCAGATTGACTTCAGTCTTGTAAGAATGATTCATTCTTTTTTAAAAAAAAAACAAAAAACCACCCACACTAGAATTTTTGTGGTCCACCAATGTATGGTGTATTTGCAAAGCAAGAATGAATATTTGGGATATGGTGGCAGTTAAAGCATAACAAAGCTGTGCTCAGTGAACCTAAGTATGGAGAACACCAAGGTCCACCACTCACAGAATCATAGAATTGTAGAGTTGAAAGGGATCTTGAGGATCATCATCCAGCCCCCTGCAATGCAGGAATCTCAACTAGATCATACATGATAGATGGCCATCCGTCCTCTGCTTTAAAATTTCCAGGGAAGGAGAATCTACCACCTCTCCCGGGAGCCTGTTCCACTGTTGCATCTCCTTCCTTGTAACTTGAATCCATTGCTTTGGGTCCTACGCTCCGGAGCAGCAGATAACAAGCTTGCTCCATCTTCCATGTGATGGCCCTTAAGATATTTGAGGAGGCTATTGTATCACCTCTCAGACTCCTCTTTTTCAGGTTAAACGTTCCCACCTCCCTCAACCATTCCTCATAAGGCTTCCAGAGGCTTGTTCACCTTGGTCGCCAGTCACTACATACATTCCAGCTTCCGTCAATATCCTTCTTAAATTGTGGTGCCCAGAACGGGACACAGTATTCTAGATGTGGTCTGACCAAGGCAGAATAGAACAGGACTATGACTTCCCTTGATCTGGACACTATGCTTCTGTTGATGAAGCACTAGAATAGCATTAGCTTTTTCCCTGCTGCATCACACTGTTGACTCATGTTAAGCTTGTGGTCTATATTGCTGGGTGTGAATGTGAGTCTTATTTTAGCAAAGATCCCATCAAGTGATGTAGAACAAGGTCCTCTCTCTGCACAGGGTCTTGGAGAGCTGCTGCCAGCCAGAGTATCTCAGGCTGATGAAAGCTGCAGTCCCAAACAGCTGGAGGGCACCAGGTTGTGGAAGGCTGGCATAAACATCATCTCCGACCTTGCAGTTTCCTAGGTGTGCTAGGCTAGCAAGTGGGCCTCAGTCTCCCTCCTGCCAGCTCTGCTCTGGAGCAAAGACTGTCAGTTCTGGATGGACTTCAGACCCTGCAAAGGCCCCAGGAGGCAGTGATGGCCACCAACTTGGATGGCTTTAAAAGAGGATTGGACAAATTAATGGAGAAAGAGAAGGCTATTGGTGGCTCCTAGCCACAATGGCCATGTCCTGCCTTCGTAGTTGGAGGCAGCAATGCTTATGAATGCCAGTTGCTGGAAGCTACAGAAGGGGAGAGGGCTCTTGTGCTCAAATCCTGCTTGCTGGTTTGGCTACTGAGAGCAGGTTTCTGGACTAGGTGGGCCACCAGCCTGATCCAGCAGGGCTCTTCTTATGCTCTTTTGGAACCTCCAGGCTTAGAGGCAGTCTATCTTGGTACAGTATATAGATTTTCAGAGTCATTTTGCCATTGTGAGAACAGGATGCAGGACAAGATAGGCTATCATCCAACAAGCCATTCTTATGTTATTGAAGGCAAATCCAGTTGCACAGTCCTTTTCTGGGGCATTCACCCTACCTGGAGGCTCTGATCTATTGGTGAGCGTGGGAAACCAGGTACTATGGCTCTTTCTTTTTTTTAAGCCCCCTAGTGAGGAAATACTTTTCTTTCTATCCTCTGCCCCATCTTCTTTATCTCCCCATCCCACCATCAGTGTCACTAGAGCTTGAGAACTTCTATTGGGCATTGTTAGGGAACAACAGGTCTCCCTTTTTTTGGAGTGGGGAGGGCAGTTGCTGCTTGGAAGGCCTGGAGAGCTACAGAGGCTGGGACTGCAGTGCTTGTGGTAGAAAAGTGAATGTTTGGGTTGTGTGGGTTTGTACACACACACACACACACACACTCCCTAACTTGGTGTTTTTCTCTCTTGCAGGGGGTTTGGCAAGCAAGGGTTTCAGTGTCAAGGTGAGTTACACACCAAATGCATATGTGAGTGAGTGCATGTCTTGGATGTGGTGTTCCCGAAAGACCTGAGTTCAAGTCCAGGCTTGCTGGAGGCAGAGCCCCAAACCTCTTTTAAGTGGTGGGGCTCCTCAGGTGTTGAAGTAAGGCAGATGCAAGCCCCCATAACCCTGTAGTTTGGAGTCAAAGTCTTGCCTCTTAGGAAGGAGGGACTCATCCATTCCAGATGCTGAGTGCCTCTGCAAGTATGATTGGTGTGCATGTGTCTCCGTGTTACATCATTTGTTTCTACCCTATAACATGACCACTTGTCTTCTTACTGTGGCAAAAGGGGCACCCACTTTGTGGGTGCTGCGTCTTGGAAGGCTAATGTGTTGTACACCCCCCTTGTATTGCAGTATATGTATATTAAAGGTAAAGGGACCCCTGACCATTAGGTCCAGTCGTGACAGTCTCTGGGGTTGTGGCGCTCATCTTGCTTTATTGGCTGAGGGAGCCGGTGTGCAGATTCCGGGTCATGTGGCCAGCATGACTAAGCCGCTTCTGGCGAACCAGAGCAGCGCACGGAATCGCCGTTTACCTTCCCGCCAGAGTGATACCTATTTATCTTCTTGCACTTTGATGTGCTTTCGAACTGCTAGGTTGGCAGGAGCAGGGACCAAGCAACGGGAGCTCACCCCGTCACGGGGATTCGAACCGCCAACCTTCTGATCGGCAAGTCCTAGGCTCTGTGGTTTAACCCACAGTGCCACCCGCATCCCTATATATATATTGGAGGTATGTAAATAAGTAAGAGTCCTGAGCCAGCTTGCCTGACCCCTCGGCACCATATCCAAATTGAGTGGTTTGCAGAGTAACTAGATTGTGGAACCACCACCCCACATCTAGCTGTTTGGACTTAGCCCTGGAACCTGTTTGAATGTTGTTGTTTTTTATGAGTGTTGGCCTGACTGAAATTCGGGTTGCAAGCTGGGGCGCCCCTCCACCCCCTTGAGCTCTCCTGCATGGCAACTGGCAGCCCCTGTTCTTCTGCACCCTCCATGTTGCCAGCTCCTGGGCCGTAAGAAGTGACTGATTGGCTGCCGACACCCATCAGGATGTGGGAGGCGGGTGGTGAGGCTGAAGGGGGAAGTGGGTGATGTGTTGATGTGACAGTCCAAATGTTGGGCTTCCTTTTTTCTCGGTGTCAAATTGCGTTGCAAGGGGGGTGGGGGCTGCTTTGAACGTGTTGTACTTTTGTTTTATCGGTCTTTCATGAGGAAATGGGCGATTCTCCTTCCGTTCTGCGGAGGGAAGGGTCCAAACTGAAGGTTGATAAAGTCTCAAAAGAGAAACCGACAGCTTGCACGGGTCGGAGTGACCCTTTGGGTTTTCGTTTTGCTTTCCAAAGGTCCGATTTCCAGTTCTGATTGTTTTGTGGTAGCGTTCAAGGTGCAGTTGAGTGCAACAGCAGAGGAAACATGAGGTGCATATCCTTAGACTGTGCAATGCACAATGCAGATTAATCCTATTTCATTATACTCTTTTTTGCCTTAACCAAACCATCCCCAACCTAGTGCCCACCAGATGTTTTGGACTGCATCCCCCATCTGCCTCCAAACATCTGGAGGGACCTGGCTGTCTTAATCAAATCCTGATAATCCTCACAAGGTGGTGAGTTTATTTTATGTGGCTTTCACTTTGCCTGCTGTTCGTCTCCACTTCATTGCAAGGTGATGATTTTGTTCTGTTGTGAGCTGCTTTTGAATGGTATGTGGGTGAGAGGCAGGGTATACTTTCAGGAAATAAATAAAGGGATGGATTTCCTCCAATTTTCCAGCTGCAAGTTCATGGATGAAGTATGAATTTTAATCAGAATGAGTGTCTGCAAGTGTGGAATTGCAGAGGGGTGGTTGATCCAGGAAAAAGCGGCCTATTATAAATCTGGATGCATGCAGAGGGTGTGGAACCCTATTTTATCTAAGAAAGATCATGGGTTTAAATAAGATGCAACATGTCAAAGTATGCAGAGTGATCTGTGCAATAACTTGTCAGGAGGTGCTGTTGCCATTTAACAGTATATCCCTTGGAAGAAGAAAAGTCATGAATTAAGAATTTGTAGGTCGCAGAAGGTTTCTCTTTTCATATGTAATCTACTTTGGAAATATTGCTTTAGCCACAAAATGGAGGAAATCAAGGTTCTCGTCTAAACAAAGACAGTAAGAATGCTGTATTTAAACACAGTAAATAGTTTTTATCTCTTCTTCCCCACCCCACCAGGTGTTTAAGGAGATTGGGCAATGCTTTTAAATCAATAGCTTTCCAGTTTTTGTTACTAGAGCTGAATGAATGCAGCTGAAGCACTTTATAGATTGTGTGTACAAAACTGGGTCTGAATAAGATGCTTTGTGGATTAAATAACTCAATGTTGTCCTACCTCCACTTCATGCAGTCTTTAAAGACTTGAAAGGCATATTAAATTTTGACAGATTAAGGTCTGCTGATGCTTAAAAATAAGAAGAGTTTCTACTGTTTTAAATGACAGAACTATCATCTCTTTGAATGATATGGCTGTGAGTTTTTCATGTGTTCCGTGATTGATGTTGTATCTTCATTATTCAGTGAAAGGAGCTGAATTTGATTTTTTTTGGGGGGGGTTGGGTCCTTCTTATATCTAGTTACAGTTTTGAAGCATTGTTTTGGGGCTCCATTTGGCTTCACTTCCCCTCACCCACATACACACACCTGATTTGAGATCTTGTATATCTTTGACCCATCCCTGTTGAATGACAATTGAAGCCTGGTTGTGGGTGGCTTTGAGATAAGAAGGTGGGTGTTGTATTTTGCCCCCTACCTTGCTGCTCAACTTTCTGAAACCTTGTGCATCTTCCACAGACACAACTCTCAGAAACTTGCACTCCATACACTTGGGTCCAGGATACCTCATGGACTGCCTAATCCCTTATATTCCATTCCAATCACTCAAATCTTCAGGGGAGTCACTCTTAGTGGTCGCCCGTGGCTCAGATGCGTGGCTCATACCCACCAGGATCATGGGCACGGTTTTATGGTCTCCCCAGTGCTTTTTTATCCTTTAAAAATGTTTAGGGGTACTCTCATTTTCCTACTCATATTGAAATACTGCCCCTCAATGAGGCCAAACTTAGAGTCACAAAATGTTTAGGGGTATGCGTACCCCTGCGTACCCCCAGAAAAAAAGCACTGGTGTTCCCTTCCAGTTGAAATCAGACAAGCGTCAAAAAGCATCAATAGGCGGGCAGTTCCAAAGTTTCGGTGCCGCCGCGCTAAATGATCTTACAGCCGTGGAATAAGTGTTACGTTGCATCTGTAAGAGTGCCAGTTCTGCAGTTCAGAATGGTTGAGTGTGCATAAGTCAGCCCTTCAAGGAAACCCCCCCCCCCAAAAAATCTCTTCGTCTCCAAAATCTTAAATGGAACCTCAGAACACAGCTAATTTAAAGGATTGTGAGCTAATACAATGGAAACAGGCTGTGTCTTTTGAGTGGCTGTCTTGCTGCCTGCCTGCCTTTCTGGTGCTGTCATTTGTCCCTGAAGTAAAAGCCATGGATCAGGGAGCTGAAGGTTCCTAAACATCTTCTGGAGAACATGAACACCAAAAAGATTCCAGCAGGGGCCAGTTGTGTGGAAAGCTGGTGCACCCCAAATTCTGCGCATATCTCTGTATATCTTCCTTTGAACCGTATTTAATGCCTTGGACCAGGCACTGTGCTGCTTGAATCAGTCCATGGGTTGCCTCCATGCACCAGCCTGGGTCAAGCACAGCAAGGATTGAGTCCGTAGCATCTGGTGGGCTCTAGGCTGGGGAAAGCTGCCTTAAGAATCTGAATTGCTATGATCATTCAATTAGCCATCAATTTAAAACCAGAGAGTTTATGGTGTCAGCTTTTGTGCTTTACCTTTTGAGGAATTAACCCTTGGTTAGAGGAAGGGAAGAGGAGCTGCGCTTATTCACAGGTGTGGGAAGATGGTGGGGCTGCTAATGCAATTTGGGTTTTCACACTTTCTGAAACATTATGCAAACTAAAGATTAAGAACCTACAAAGAGCTTGCTGAATACGGCCAGTGGCCCATCTAGTCCACCATCCTGTTCTCACGGTGCCCAGCCAGTGGCCAAAGCACAGCTCTCCTTGGAAATTCACCCCTCTCTGAATTTTGAGTTGCAGTTTTCCAACCAAAGAATGTGTGCAAAAATGCATCTGTTCAGGAAAAGAACATATCAGGTATATTGTGTTGGGGAAATGTGTGCATTAGGCTGAATTGCATACAAAGGTTTTTATTTGCACTGAAATGCTGTCAAATGTTCATGAGGACTTTTGAAAAACAGCAACTTACAATTTGATGCAGAAATGTGCAGAACTGAACTTTAGACTGGGGGGAAATGAGAAACTGAAACAGTTGTCCATGCTTAGCTAAGAGTGCTGTCTGGGTAGAGGAAAGGAGTCCAGCTCCAGAGGTGTCCTGAGAGGTTCTTCCCAGCCTTTGATTGTCCCTCATTTCCTCAGCTTGATGTCTTCCCTGCAGCTTCTTTTCCTGAAGGCTTCACTGTCTACTTTCCCTCAAGTTCCATTTCCTGCCTACTTGGTCCACCTGCTTCTTACTCAATTGCTTCCCCATCTCCTGGGAATTCTTCCTACATAATTTCCAGCCCTCCATCTCACTGCCTGTCCATAAAGCCCATGCGAGTGAAGCTTTCATGCCAACCCAGCCACACTGACGATCCACTTCCCTGGTAAAAGCCTGGACGGTTCACAAACATGGTGGTCTTGGCAGTGTCATGATCCCTCCAGCAGAGTTTTGTGAACATTCCATGACATCACAGCAGCTCAGCCGGTCCTTGCCCTTGGATTACCTAGAGAGGCATGTTGTTCCCATACTTCCCCGAAACTATTTTTCTCAATCCATATTTTATTATTAATTTTGGCTGTATTTCTTTCCTATCACATGTTATATTTTTCATAACAGGAGTTCAGTTGGCATCAGGGG